AGGGCAATGTTGCTGACGTAGCTCCGCACGCACTGTGGGCCTTGAGACTCCAGGGTGTCGTCGCCATCATCAGTCTCCACGTCGTCTGTCTCCAGGCAACTAAACCTGTTGGCGACTGGCACGGTGACCTTGGGTGCTCTCTCACACGCCAGTAATCGCACCCCTCTTTTTACTGGCGTCCAGCGTTTGGGTTCGAGTCGCATTGACGTGCCAGATGACCAGGTCGGTGGCATATGTAGCATCGTCGTTCCGTTTCCTCGCGATTGGCACGGGGACCAGGAACCGACAGTGGACGACGTACCAGGTTCCCCTGCTGCTGTCGTACCGTAATGAAGGGCATCACTTGCGATACGGCGAGCGCTGCTTCTGTCGCCTTCTGCAGGGTTGTAGGATGCTCCTTCATGACTTCACGCCTGAGCTCCGGGGCCAGGCCCCTGACAAATAGTACTGCGCGAGAGTGGCCATCCAGGTCAGTGATTAAAAAACTGAGCCGCGAGAATTCTGCGATGTAGTCTCCTAAGGCGCCGCGCTGGGAGAGGGAGAACAAACTCCACCGAGCTCTCTCTTGGTCGTACTTCACACCGTAAGCCGCCTCTAATGCCTTCTTCAAGGACGACCAGTCTGGGTATGCAGCGCCGGCTTCCAGGGAAGTCATCAACCACAGACGCGGATTTCCAGCGATATAACTGGCTGCAAACTCAGCTTCACGTTTAGGATCCGCGAAGCGCCACGAAGCCAAGGCCAACTCGGCGGCAAATGCCCATTCCCGAAACGTGGTGGGATCTCCGGTGAACACGGGCGGCTCCTTGACGTGTGGGCGATCACGCGGTGCAGGCTGGGAGGCTGAAGCACGAGACTCAGGAACACACTGGGGTGACGACTGAGTAGAGGGTAGAGCTTCCTTCCGGAGACGGTTGACGATCCAGATGCTGACGACGATAGAGCTGATAGCCGAGGCCAGAACTAGGCCCACGAACGACCACAGGGGTTGGAGATCCATCCTCTTGCTACCAATTTAATAGTTCTTCATTGAGCGAAGGAAGAAGAGCGCCTTTATTACTCAATATACTGGTTATATATATGAGAGTAGGTGTGACACAAGGTGATAAGGTGTGAGTGGTGAAAGTAGGTGTAAAACTGTTACATAAGGAGTGCTCAAGAGGAAAGGCGGAAGCGAGTTGGCGGCAAGGCTAACTGTGGTTACGAGGTCGGTCAACAGGTCCGAATAAAGCTTCAGCCTGCGCAACGAAAATTGGGGAAGCTACATGCCCACAAATCTGAGTTGTATACCGTAGTTGAGAGAAACAACAATACGTACCTCCTCGAACCGTGTGGGTCTAGTTCTCGCCACCACTGCCTTCAACGCCATTACAATGAGCTGGAGGCAGCACCATCTCAACGGTTGAGCTGGGAACAAGGCGAGTCTCCAAGTAACCAAACCCTGGTAACCGATGGCACTACGGGCGAGGCAATCGAGGAAGGGACTCCGGTACGAAAGAGTACACGGGTTAAGCGGCCGACGAAATTCCTTAAAGTGGACCCGAAACGGCGGCGGTATTGGTTTAGCTCAGCCAGCAGTGGAGCGGATGCAGATTTGTCGGAAACTGATGACAGCAGTGAAGATGTGTGACTTTGTGCAAAGTCTACAAATGAGATATGGGCATGGAAATGATGATGCATTATTTTGGGTTTAACGAAGTTCATCATTTGTGTGATACTTTTGGATTGGTTATACATGCATCTGTTTCGAGTTTTTATTGACTATTTAGTTGAGTTTCGGTGGGGGAGTGTGAGAGCTGGACCGTGACGATCACACCTTCCATTTGGTGCTACCTTCACACCGCGTTGTTTGGTGTTGACACTTCCATAGGTAGCACTTGCGCTGCCACCACACTTACCATACTACACACTCACCATACCATACCACACGTCATATCTGCGCTTGTGCTGCCTGCAACGCTTGGCGCCTATTGCTGGCTACTCTCACACCTTGGCCATATATAGTTTGGCCTCAGTAGTGATTTGTAGTCAGTTGGATTCTGGACAATAAACCAGTCTCATCACTAATACCGGTACCACCGAAGTCAAAACTTCTAAGTGAATTTTTGATATACCGTACTGGCAATATATATGGTCGCAGTGAGGCCATGAAGCGTTACATTGGCACATGTTTACCGCACGCAGGGCGTTACATGCAAAGTCGCACAGGAGCCGTTACACAGGTTTCTATATTGCCGCAGTCCTTTTTTTGCTATTGCCGCATCATTGTTTGCTGTTGCCGCATCATTTTTTGCAAACTGCAATGAAAAGATCGCCGCACCCCGCCGGACGCGCGTTACGAACGCAACGAAAATTTGTCGCACTAGCCTGGTCGCGCGTTACGCCGCACCCCCCCCCCCCCTGCGTTACGCGTTACGCGGCAACATATATTGCCAGTACGGTACATGTAGCTATGAATTAGATGAAGGCCGCAGACATCACGCAACTACGTTACTTGTTCGACATGCATGCGTATTTTACATCATTAATATTATTGAAACTCAGAATCGATTTTCTCGTTCCTATCATCAGTGGGAAAAAAAATACAGAACTAAAGGATACAACCAAAGAAACTGAAGTTAAGTACTTGTACTGTAATAGAAAGGTGTTAGAAATAACATAATGGTGGCTGCGGCCTTCATCCTATTCATAGCTATATTAATTAAAATGATTATCTCCATGTAGATTAGAAAAGAAAAGGACATATGGAAACGAGTTAAGAGTAACTCTCCACCACTTTAACTGATACTATTATACAGTCAGAAAGTGCAACAGCTAGGCACAAAACTGACAGAGTACTGAGACATTCGACGTCCTGACACAACTTGTTTTGTAGTCAACTAGTCCATCACAATGTCATGCATGAGGAGTACTGTAGGAGTTTAGATTTCGGCTGGTACAATTCGTTCTCGCAAAGCTTCCCCCTTCTTAACTTATCTTTGATATTTTTTGACCCACCCAAGTTGGGTGGTGTGCTGCTTGGCTGCTTCGAATTGTAGTTAGACCGCTTTGTCAAATCGCCTACTGGTCTCGTCATCGTCCAGTGACAATCGACACTCTTTGTTCCGTTGGGACTGTAGCTTGTGCTCGTTTTCGTTGCGCGTGCCTTCCCCTCTTTGGTCTTTCCATAACCTTGAACCTTCCAAGTTGGAAGGCTGTCGGTTAGCGCTACGGAGATGTGTTGAAGCTAGGTGTCAGGACGTCGAATATCTCAGTACTCTGTCAGTTTTGTGCCTAGCTGTTGCACTTTCTGACTGTATATAGTATCTAGCTAAAGTGGTGGAGAGTTACTCTTAACTCGTTTCCATATGTCCTTTTCCTTTCTACTTTTATTATTGGCTCAATACCCGAGTTTCAAATTCCACGTAGATTATTTGAATTTTTGATGTTCGTATTGTTAACTCCGTCTATGATTGTTGATAGTGATATCTGTCATGGCTTTATGGAGGAATTCCTGAAGAAGAAACTACCTACTATGATCACGTGCCAAACTGGAATACTACTACATCCGACTCCACTTATAACGAATTCGCATATAGCGAATTTCGTGACTCACTTGTGAGGTCTGCATTTGCCACTAAGGTGTACAAGGCATAGGCAAAGTGGTGGCCTGCGGAAGCGAAGGCTAGTTTGTGTGTTTCTGAACATCCAAGCAATGCCAACGCGAATCCTGCGAATTACTATTATTGTCCATAGATTTGAGTATTGTTGAGTCACCTCCACCATTACACTGCGCTCTTTAGCCGACTAGACCCTCCTGCACACACAACCATCACCATTGCGAGGACACTTCCGTAGACGATATTGATAAACTCCTTCAGACAGCTGTTCCGCTAATACATAGCTCATCAGTGAAGGTAGATGTTGAATGATATTTTTAATCATTCAACATCAGTGTACGGAAGGAGGATTCAGGCAGCCATGGCGTGTCAACAGAGTTTTTGTGATAGAGAACATCCGCACAAATATCTATGGTCTGTTCCAACCGTACATTCGTGAACAAACTGACCTCATCAAATGAGCACATGTGCGCTGTAGCGGGAAGCTGGCGAGTGCGAATGAGGTCTACAAACTGGAAGCTGTCCTTGACAATGTTCTTACAGTAATAATCTTGCACGGCTCCAAGCCTCAAACAAAGCCACTTCGATACTTTGTACTGTGGAGATGCTCCCATTGATAATATTGGGCGTAATGGACAATTCGGCTTATGGATCTTTGGCAAGCCATAGAGTCGCGGGCGGGCGGAGCCTATTGCCTTTTTAACCTTTGTTTTTCCCTTGATCACTTTAGTTACGCATTTCCACTGATGATCGGAGCTTGAAAATCGATTCTGGAAACACACAATCTAAACCCTTGAACAAATTGTCATGCTGCGTGGTGATGTCTGCGGCATTCATAATTTTCATAGCTATTATTAAACTTTTATCAACACGTAGATTATTTGTATTATTATGTATAGCAAACAGTTGTCCATGTCCCAGTTTGAACCCACAGCGTAAGTTCATTTCTGTTATAACGAACTTCGGCTATAAAGGAGTAGTTCTCCTGCACATTGGTGTTCTTGATAATCAGTGGTCGACTGTTGCTTTTATTTATGCAGGGTCGTGAAATTAGAACCCTGATAGCGCTCTACAAGGAGAAGCTCCTTAAGGAGAAGAGGCGCAGCGAGGCTCATGAAGGTGTGTTTCGAGCCGATGCCGCACTGGCTGCAGGCACCTACTAATAACCGACACTGGGCCAAGGTGGCTCAAGACAAGTAGACATGCTTACTCATCCCACTGACATCTACACTACTAAAAGTTGCACCTAGTTCAGCGACTGCTTGTAGGCGCCAAGTTGGGGTTACCAAACTAATATTGACAATATGTATTGACAATATGGATCCGAGCTATCACCACCTCAGACAACATTGGGATGCACATTCGTGTATGTAGCCACGAATAATAATATCTTGTGTTGAATAATATTTTGACAGCAGTGCACAATGCCACACAATGCAGACACACGTTAGAAAGCACAATAATAATTTTTGAAAGCATCTTGTGAAGCATCTTGACTCGCGGTGTACGCATGAGATTCTCAATATAACAGGCTGTCATAAACATTATACTTCTTTACAAGCTACAAGTGAAGAATGTACTAGTGTGTTTGCATGAGATTCTCAACATACATGTAATAAGGCTGGCATAACTGCTTCACATCGTCACAAGATACGTGAAGTACAGTATGTTAGTTTGCACTATAAACTGTGTTCGAATTATTTCTTAAAAAATCTTAGCTATGGACAGTTGAGTATGGTAGTTGAGGCAGATGTTGACAAGGGCCAGGTGTGATCTGATAAGTACGTGACATTAATGTAAGCTGGTGTGCATGTTTGTGAGATAGGGTTGGGCCGGATTTAGTCAGCGGCCTGCAGAGTGCTGAATGTACTGCATGCACTGGCTGGAGCAGCTTGTTACCCGAATAATGAGCAGTTCGAAAGGTGACAAATATGTACATGTGAAGCAAAGTGTACGGTCGTAGTACTGCATACTTCTAAATTTCAAATGTTTGCTGTTGTCGGAGAATGCACTGGGAAATATCTCATTGGCCGAAGTAAAGGAAATCTGTGAACGTTGTGAATTGCGGCGTGCTTTGCTTACTATGATGGTGGCGTCGCTCTTCAGTTGCGATCAATTTGTGAAAGCAACTCTTGGACAATGCGCTGCATTGACGGTCTCTCCTGTAGATCTGTCTTGATACACTGCTCAGCGATGTGACGATACCCATAGGGTATGTTTGGTGGAAAGATGGGCTTGGTGCCACCTGCAATTTCATCCAGGATATCGTCAGAGTTGCTGAGGTGTTCATAAGGTATCTGTCGAGTTGAGAGTTCCCACATAACCACGCCAAAGCTGAAGCAAGAGAATACAACATGAGGAGATGATAGCGTTGGGCCTATCTGCGCTGCAACACCCATATTCAGCGCTCCCTCTAGACATTCAGTACTTCACAATAACACAAGTTTGAGGCCGACTCACATCCCAATGTGGCAACTAATTACTTCCCCATGTCTAACCCCAAGATGAAGTAAAATACTGTACTTGTCAACAACTAGTAATACTCTTAACCGTCCACTTCTCTACACTGCGCTCTTGGCCCACATTCACAACATCTACCCAAGAACGGACCTCCTCGCCATGGAGTGGTGTTGTGAATGTGGGCCAAGAGCACAGTGTGGAGAGGTGGACGGTTAATTAAGAGTATTTTCAAACGACCGAGTTTGTCGCTACTTCTGGGTTATTAGTAATACTGGCCGAATTAAAAAATCGAATCATGTCAGATTATAGTTCGACTGTCTTTTCTGCAACTTCAACTCTTCAGTAAAGAAAATGCTCAGATTAAGCTCCAACAGTGGAGATACAGTTCTCTTCTTCATTTCTAAAACAAGACCACCATCTACTCATTCAACGTCTGTTTGCAGTGTGGTTTATTACGCTCACCTGTAGACATCGTGTTTCTCCGTGTACAGATTCTTCTTGATGGATTCAGGTGATCGCCAGCGATCTGTACCAACTCCACACGTCATTCCAATACGTGAAGTCATACCCTCGGTTGCTCTTGTAGCTCTGTCGTCACCAATGTGATCCACATGAGATGTGACACTGGTATCGCCCAATAATGGAGTTGTTAGTTGATCAGGGTGTGTTGTGTCTGATACTGTGCGGGTCGAGTGATCTCTCTCCTGCACGAATCCTGTTTCCCTGGCATTTGACCCAATACCGTCGGGATGAAGGATGGCTAGGAATCGTGCTGTTTCCATGTCGGCGATCTTCACCACCCATTTGTCACTGACTAGCATGTTGGCTGACTTGATGTCACGGTGGATCATGGGTGGATCTCTGTTGTGCAGATACCTCACACCTCTTGCAGCATGCAGCGTGAATCGCAGTCGATCTGGGTGGTCAATCTTGTTGAACGGATCATGGAGAACATCGCAGAGAGAACCTCGCTTCAAGTATTCCATCACAAGAAATGAACACCTGGATTGCGAATCCCTTCCTGCTCCCAGGAATAGAACTATATTTGGGTGGCTTAATGTTCGTAAAACTTCCGCTTCTTGAATGAAGGAGTCGTACGGCGATGCAGTTGAAACAAACGGTGGAAGTCGCTTAACAACAACTGCCATATCTCCCAACTTCGCAAGTAACACTTTACAAAACCTTCCCTCGGCAAGTTGTCTCTGAATCTTCAGATCAGACCAGGCAATACACGTGCCATGGTTGATTTGACTGAGCTTTCTGTTGGAGCGGTAGAGGTCACGATTGGTATTGACGAGTTCAATTTCCTTTGCATTCAGAGCCCTTCTCTTTCTCAGGAACTGAATGAGAGCTATGACGAGGGTGGTAAGAGTGGTTGCGAAAACGAGAGAAGTCATCAAGATCAGGTACACTGCTGGTGTATTGCAGTCATCGCTGGGTAAATATCCGAAACGACACACACAGATGTGTTTGAAGTCTGCCTTGTTGACCAGGCATTCTCCATGTCCATTACAAGTGTTGTCTTTACATGGTCCCTCAGGAACACAGTGAGATGCGGCCTCTCCGACGGTTGTTAAGGACTGGTTGCATTCGATACACTGCTGTTGAAGAGTTGCAGAATATTTTCCGATTGGGCATGGTTGACATTGGGATTTCTCGTCACGACCAAGGCCGACAGGGCATAGATTGGAGGTACTGAGAAAAAGAACTTGGGATTTCCAACACGATTTTACTGTAGCTACACCGATTACCAAGTTGCCAAGCACAAAGTGATTCCCAATTCTGATTTTGAAGAACTTATTCGATGAAGCCACTACTTGAGAACCATTGTTTTTGATGTTGATAAGTAGTGCCCATTTTGCAAGGTGGTCATGCATCTTCTCACCAGTTATACTACCTCCAGTCAGGATTAGGTCATTCTTTACAACTGACAGTCTGTGGCTATAGCGGTTCGGTATCTCAGGAATTATCGGTATATCACGAACGGTTATTTCGATTGTTGAACGGATGTCCACAAGTATTAGTTTGGAATCGGATGGCATCCTGCCTCCAAACAGCAACACTCCATGATCAGTGGGTGTTATTGAATGACCATACTGGATAGGTAGATGTCCTTTCTGAACGTATCCTGTGAGATCATACCAATGACCTTTGCACTGGTCTTCGTCTGTAATCACGAACATCCACAAATCTCCAAGGGTATGGTTGATGTAGTTATCGGTCCTTCCACCATGGATCACCATTGCAGATCTATTATATCTGAATGATACATGTTGTGAACGTAGGGAGGGTACGATCCCAGATGTGATGTTCGCCTTTACCCAAAAGTGTTCGTTTATATTGAAGCACCATGGATTTTTGCTACAATTCGTTATTGGAGAACCTCCATACAAGATGGCTGTTTTATTTGTTACCAAGGTTACGGTGTGATAATAGCGACGCGGGCAATCTGGTCCGGGTGACGGGTAGAGCAGTGTATAGTAGAATCCTGTGGAATAGGGGTTCTTCCCTTGTGAAGAGCGTAATATCCACACAGGCATTGTGAACATAGGACTTTTAATAAAGTTTAACATACCGATACTCTCCACACGAAATATTCCAGTACTCCCAAAAACTAGACCTTCTTGTATTTCCTTGGTTCTCGTTGGAAGCAGGATGCTGGCTGCAAGCCGTCTGGTCAAACGTCTACCGGGAGAATGATTTGACAATGCTCATAACCTGCGTTTTCTGGAGATGCATTGATGTAGTTCTTCCATCCCATCTCGAATATACAATTACCCTCATCACAGATTCTCCAGATCCCGGTACGAGGAAGAATGATTTCGTTCCAAAAATGATATCAAAACGTCTGAAACACAATGGAAAATCTCTGTTTGGAATCACACGACTAGCACAGTTGGCAGGGAAATCTTGAACATTGCACACAATAATTTCCGAGAGAACCGTGCTTCCCGATCGTCTCCTCGCTGGATTAATAACCAAGGTTTTCTGCAAGGCTAGATACGATGCATCAAATGATGAATTGAGAAGATCCATGGGGCCTTGAAAGGTATTCTTCACCTCCATCCATGTCAGTGATAAGGTGTCGAATTTCCAAATATCCAAAGTGACGGTATCCGAGAATCTGTCAAGCACTTTCCACCACCTACAAACCACAGAATTGCACCATCATCAGCGAAAAGTCTGGCGAACTGGCGAGGTTGGGGAGTCATCATATCGCTTGGGTGAATAACCTGCCAATATCCGAAATCATGGTCTTGAACATGGGAGACGCAATAGAACATTGCTTGGGGTATAGCAGGATCTGCGTTCATCGCTCCACAAAATACAACCTCCAAATGAAAAGAGGAAGAATGAAGAATTGTTGAATTTGCTGTGCAAGCACTCAAGGCTGCGGGAATGGCGACGAGAGACGACCCCGGTCCACCCACCTGAGGAATCTCAATTCTTCCTCGCGCTTTAATAACTCTGGTTTTCCTGTTGCCATAAAGCAACACCAAGTTGCTACATTCGCCAGGGCCAAATCCATGTAGGATGACTTGATGCTTGCACGGGGATACAGTCACATCTGGCGAAGTTTTGAAACAGCAGCATTCTCTACCCAGTGTCACGTTCAAGTCGATCTCACGCTCAAACAGCTGCCAGGTTTGACCTCCAGTGTAGCTTGTATCAAACACGGCAACGTTTAAATAGACTGTCTCATGTTCGACTACCCTATAGATGATCATAAGGTGCGGTGCGAACTTACTTCGAACATTCCTCCCTGAACATAACGACCTCCCTGACGAGCACTTGGGAGAAATAACGGGGCGTACCGGTATTATGACTTTTGTATAATTCTTGGCGTATAGTACCTGGATGTTGAGGACGTCCAGTGACTTTTATCAATGGTCCGTTCCTCCTTCCATTAACATACCTAACACGATCCAGCAAATGAAGTAAACAAAACACCCACAAGGTGGATGTTAGGATCAGCCAGTACTTAGCCATTGCCGCCGACACAGTCGTGCATGCAACCAATTTCCGTGATGGAGCGTACGTCACGTTGTTTAGAGACGTCACGCTTCCACTAGTCACGACAGAAGCCACTTATCTCACGCAGAGCCTTTAAAATGTACTGCGAAGAAGTCTGTAGCTGTACTTTGTGATCCTCTTCTTCACAGTGGCAACACAAATTATACAGCTGTACTCAATCTTCCCCCATCCAGCTCTTTCCAACTTGTTAGGAATCAGCAACTGAGCTCAGAGTTACAGTTTGAACCAGTTATACACTCATATACACTTTGTCACTGAACCGAAGGAGGGTTAGCCTCGATGTGGTAGTAGCAGGGTTAGCCTCGATGTGGTAGTAGTATTTTTGCACTAGGACAGTTAGGATTCGTGTGTCAGGATTCAGGAGACACGAGATGTTCATGCCTGCTCACGCAAAACGTGTCACTGCATGTGCATGATATAATTAGGAGAGATTGCAATCTATATCAAGGCCAGTCGTACACACGTGTCACACGCTGGATTGTTTTAAACACGGAGTAGCCAAACAATCCAATTCTGGTCCTTGATCCCTAATATGTGCATGAAGTGTGTGAGAACAGTAAAGGATTTGTTCCACATGCCCCCGGTAGTGTCACAGGAAGCTTGAGCTTTATCTTGCAGAACGTGTTGAACGGTCTCTGTTGAGATGAAGGCTTGACCATAGGTGAGTGGTAGAGCATGGTGGGAGTAAAGCAAAGGTCACTGGCGCCGGTCCTGGTGGTGCCTTCCAATATCTGCTTCGGATTTTCACCTTTTCAGCTCTCTCATTCAAACTAATGAATGTTTATAAGAGATTGCCCAGTCTTCTGGCTAGAAACGGTACCTGATGATCGCTTTGCTGGAATCTCTAGTAGCTGCAGGTGAATCTATTTCTGCCGTCTTCAGAAACTATAGGTTCGATGATACACAATCTCCTATAAATCACAACTTCCGATGTTATCAAAGATCAAGGATAGACTCGGATGGAGAGCCAATGATTAATTCATAGTAAAAACAAAAGGACAAAGAAACTAGAAGTTACGCTATAATGTCCACTAACACCACTGGTTACTTGACAATCAGCTCATACACATACGCCAACGGCCTTTACAGCTGATACTTTCAGGTTGCGCTCACCTTCCCCACCTGTGTTTTATATAACTTTGAACCTTACAAGTTGGAAGGCTGCTGTAGTGCGCATCCAAGGTGTACTAGAGCTGATAGCCAGTTGTAGAACGTCAGTACTGCCGGTCAGTTTAGTGCAATGTTATCGCATGAGCTGATTGTCAAGTACCTGGTGGTGTCAGTGGACATTATAGCGCAACTTGTAGTTCCTTGGTCCCATTTTTTCTTTCCTATGTTATCCTATAACTTAGCACCTTCCCAGTTGGAGGGCTATTGGAGTGCGCATCCAAGACGTGTTAGAGCTGATAGCTAGTTAGTTGTGGAACGTCAGTACCATAGGTCGGCGTCATGCAAGGTTATCGCATGAGTTGATTGCAAATTGGTGGTGGTGGTGGTGGACCTTATAGCATAACTTCTACTAAGTTGTAGGGCCTTGGTCCTTTTCTTTACTAAAAGATTATCCTTGACTCTCCATCTGATTCTATCCATGTACAAAAAAATAGTTTATATTATTTTTTTATTTCACCTTCCCGTGGCCAGGGAATATAGGCCAATATGGAGGGGGGGGGGTGCGATAGCCAGCCATGGCAGTAAGCAAAACAATGCAAAAAAAAGAAAATATTACAAAATGTTGAGGGAGTTTCCAACAGTAAAAGTCTGAAGAAATAATGACTGTCCCCACCAGTACCGAATCAGAGAGTTGGTGACATTGGAGATGACATCCAAACTATTATGTCAGGCTTGCTGGACCCAGTCATGTCTGAAGGACAGGAAAACAGTCAAATTGTTAATAGGCAAAATCATGATCAGGTGCGTGATTTTCCGGAGCCTTCCTCATCGCCGTCGCGGAATCAAGGATTTCATCTGGGTGATTTTACCGAGGCAGAGTCTGTGGACGTGATTGCGTATCCTTATTAGGTATGTGCCCATTTCAAATTCAATCCTTTCCAAATTCCTTGTGGTAGGATTGGAAGAAGGTTCATCGCAGAACTGACAAAAGTATATTTATGTTTCGGTGCAGCAGGATCATGCGAGCATTACGGATTCAAATTGGCAGCTGTGTTTCAGCTGCCCTTGCTTCAGAAGCCTGCTGGCGATGCAGTGACGCTGACAGCTCTTCTTGTAACTCAACGAGTGGTTATAGGATGCTGTATCGGAGTTGCTACGTGAGGCCTGCACTACTTTATACAGAAGTACTAGCCAAGCGTGCAGACTCACCTGGAGATCATTGCTCACAGTATTAGACACAAGCAGTTGCAAATAAAGAATAAGAAAGGAGATATGCCGTATCTTTAAAGATCTTGGGCTGAAAATTACCATCGATGCCGGCATAAAGGTCGTAAACTACCTCGACGTCACACTTAATCTAGCCGACGGGACCTACCGCCCCTACCGAAAACCAAATGACACGCCGATGTACGTCCACACACTATCCAACCACCCGCCAACCATCATCCAACAAATACCCAAGTCTATCAGCAGACGATTGACAGATATTTCGTCCAACAGAGACACCTTCCAGGAGGCGGCACCTCTGTACAACAGTGCGCTCAAGGCCAGCGGTTACGCCGAGCAGATCGTGTACATGGAGGAGAGAGAAAAAGATGAAGAGAAAAAGAAGAAAAACCGCAGACGAAAGATCATCTGGTACAATCCTCCGTTCAGCAAAACAGTAGCCACGAATGTCGCGCAAAGATTCTTGCACCTCGTCGAGAAGCATTTCCCACATCGTTCACGCCTAAACAAAATATTCAACAGTAACACAGTAAAAGTAAGTTACAGCTGCATGCAGAACATGTCTGGTGTACTAAAGGCGCACAACAATTCGGTCTTGCGGAAGAAGCAGAAAGATGATCAACAGAGAACAGAGAAAAGATGCAACTGCAGGGATAAAGTTAACTGCCCCATGCATGGAAACTGCCAGATCCAGTCAATCGTATACAAGGCCAGCGTGACAGAAACCGGAAAAGACGAACGAAATGAGTACCTCGGCTTAACGGAAATGACGTTCAAGAAGCGATACGACGGACACATGACGTCAATGAGGCATGAGCGAATGGAGAAGAGTACCGAGTTGTCAAAGCTCATCTGGGACATGAAGCGCAAGAATGCCGGGTACAGCATCAGTTGGTCAGTTGTCGCCCAAACACCAGCATACTCCAATGCCACCAAGCGCTGCCCTCTCTGTCTGCGTGAGAAGCTGGAGATCTTGCATGCTGACAGAAGGGTGAACATCAACAAGCGATCGGAGCTAGTGGCCAAGTGCAGACATGAGAACAAATTCTACCTATCTAACTTCACACCTCCAGTTACATACACCAGGATTACACCTGATGTCTGGCACTAATCTTGCAAGCACATGCATAGAATCACCGCTTGACCTTATTTGCGCTTAAAATCTCTGATTCCACTGGCACCTTTAATACCACACTATATCAAGAACATTCATTGAGTTTTTGTAATCATTGCTGTCTGATGATCGCCATAGGCGTGAAACTCGGAGTCACAGCCAACACAAGCTTCGTATTCTATTCCTTTTGCAAATAAAGAATAAAAAGCCAACTCCGGTAAACTTTATGCGGCTACTCGGCAGTTTTCTGATGAGGGCAAGTGTAGTGTACATGTACACAAGCTGGATGATTTGGTTGATGGCAAGCCTGTTCAGGATATCTACTAGTCAAGCATCCCCAGCGGAGCCTATTCTGGACGAGGCACTCATTCAAGGCATCCCACCTCTGGAGCCAAACCCAGTGTACTTCAATGATCTTGATGCTGGGGCTAATTGAGTGTGCCTCACTGACAACGCATGGTGAATATGACTCTCTCTTGAATAGTGCTGCCCCCTCCCCCCAATTTGTAACCAAGGGCATTGGCAAGTTTGGTGTCCTTTTGCTAACGTCCTTCTCCATGTCATTGCACTGGTGGTTTCAGGATCCCTATCGCAGTTATGCCGTTTCTGTGACAAGTTGAGTCATGATAGTTTACAGTAAACTTTAGGCTCTCCATTTGTTTCATGCTGGTTGACAGAAATGTACCAGAATTGAAAATAGTACCCTCTCTTGAATAGTGCCCCACTTGTGATGAATTTTGGCAAAATAGTGCCCCAGGGGTACTACTTATGTGAGTCCGGTATATGATCTGGCGATGTCCATCATAGTAACAACGTCTATGATTGTTGATACAAGTAGTGATATCGGTCACGACTTTTATGGAGGACTTCCTGTATAGGAAACCACCTACTATGAGCGCGTGCCGAACTGGAATACTACTATCTGTGATTGCTGTTGCCTTTGTTTATGCAGGGTGATGAAATTGGTACCCCGATAGCGCTCTACAAGGAGAAGCTCCTTGAGGAGAAGAGGCGCAGCGAGGCTCAGGAAGGAGTGTTTCGAGCCGATGCTGCACTGGCTGCAGGCACCTACTAATAACCGACACTGGGCCAAAGTGGCTCAAGACAAGTAGACATGCTTACTCATCTCACTGAC